GCAGACTCACAATCACTGTAGACAAGTCCAAGGACACAGCCTACATGGAACTGAGCAGGCTGAGCACTGAGGACACGGCTGTGTATTACTGTGCAAGAAACACAGTGTGACAACCACATCCTGAATGTGTCAGAAAACTGATGGGGAGGCAGCTGTACCGAGTGAGGACATTACAGGGATGCTGATCCTCCTGACTTTCTCCTCAGAGAGTTACAGTCTGAGACACAGAATGGGGCTCACAGGGCCAGGATTCATTTGAGGGAAAGGCTCAGGATCTCTCTGTCCTTCAGCAACAGCGAAGAAGATATCTTCTCTCTGGAACACCTGGTGTTATTCATGTTTTCTTCTAGGATTGTGTAGTGCAGCGCCCTACATGGCACTGGAAGAACCACTTGGAAGTTTGGGCTGGTGTCATTGCAGGTTACTGAACTGTAGGTCTACCCATGGCAGACTCCCAATGTTCCATATTTGCTTTGAAATTCTGTCTCTGCAAGAAATCCTTTTCTCTTAGAAGAAATCCTGGTGTTGGCCAGACTCCCTTCCTGAGTTTCTGTGGAAACCTGCCCCTTTGTACATCTTCATATCTCTTTATTTCTGAGCTAGAATCCTGCCATTGGAGAAGAGACAGTGGAGAAGATGACCCTACTTGATAGGGACGATGGTCACATTTCTACGATCACATGGTGGTAAGGAAATGGTTGGATCAGTTGTCTGTGAACCTCTGATGTTGGGGGCATCTCAGCCAAGCTCAGGGGAAGGTTATTACCCAAGCACAGACACACAGTCTGGGATATGCCCAGGAGGGCTGGCAGTAGCATGGACCAGCAGGCAGGATCTAGAGCGAGGCCTCAGTTGCAGCTCCCTCTGCCCCAGGAATCATGCACTTGAGCTGAGTTTACATAGGGTCTGATGTCACCAATTGATAGATAATCCTGGGAAATATATGGTATGGAGTGAGACATTAATTTTGTGTAGCCATTCAATATGGAAATATTCAACATAATCACATTCTCTCAATTTATATCCAGGACATACATCCGTGGATGTATATCTATGTGCAAATGCATAGACTAGATGAGTGGAAAAGAGCAACATATACATATATAAACATATATGTGTATATGTTATATATACATATACATATATATGTCGCCTATTCATTCCACTGGGAAGCCTCGGACAGCATGACTCTGTGATTGGCTATCAGTCATGCAGATCACAGTATTACTGGGAATATACGTGCTTTCATAGTTGGACTAAAACCTTTATTTCATATGCAGAATCCAAGACTCATACCTGCACTTTCAAAAATGTTACCAAATTTATCAAAAATGTCAATTTACAAAAAGTGAGCAAAACTCTTCCCAATGACAAGGAAAATGCCCATATCTGATGTGAAAGTATTTCCATTCCTTCCTCTAGGAGAACATTCCTGGAGGATGACCCTTCAATTCCTGAAGGAACAATAAGTACAATATTGGGAAAAGTTCCAACCGAGGTCAATAAAGAGCACTGAAGAAGGGAGCCTGGCCTGAAGACCAGCCTGGATTGTCAATGTGGAAGAGCAGAAAAGTTTAGACAGATTCCCTGAGACAGGGCAGTATAGAAATCAGACCTCAAGGATTGTTCTCAATGCACCCTTCCTGCCTCTGCACAGAGCAGGCATCTGGATGGGACTCCTTGGTGATTGAACTGCTACTTACAGTTATGGAGTGTCAGCCTGCTCTCAGTCTCCCCACTGTCCTCCTTGTATAGTGACAACTCCAAGTGACACCTGGGAAGGCCACGTTCTCAGATCACCAACCACTCTCCTAGTGCTACACACTTCCAACTGAATCCAGAAAGTCTGGGGCATTGCCTTGAAGACATTTTACTCGTAAATTTCACATCCATGAGGAACACCTGGAAAGTGCCCTAATCCTGTCTAATCTCTGTGGGCCTTACTATGCTTCCTGAATTGAAAATCACTCAACTTTCTGCAATATCGAAAAAACTAGAGGATGTAATTCTGAGTGAATCCATCAGCAGGAAAGGGAGAGACACAGAATGATCTGTCTCATAACATGGGGCTTAAAGGATAGACACCAAGGTAGCAACAAGGGCTAAGAGCAGCGAAATAGGAGAACTGATCCTCATAATTGAGTATTTTGGGGAAATAGTTTTAACCCTGACTTCAGTCTCAGAATCTTCACAACATCCTATTCCCCGAACTTCAAGACTTGAACCTGTTTCAACCTCCCACACCCCACACCAAGTGCCAGAGGCTCAGAATGTTTGTCTTAGCTGCACACAGACAGGGCACTGCGACAGGAATTGCTCCTTTATGAGAAGAAGTGTGGGGGTCTCCTAGCACTGACACAGGTCTAAACATCCACCTGTGTCCTGGGGCAAACAGGAACCTCAGTTCCACTCACTCAGTGCCTGAAGGAGACTTTCAGTTTCAGTTTCCTGTTCTGGGGAGGCTCAAGGTTCACAGTTTCCTGTGTTCAACATGTCCTCAGGGGACCCTCAGGTCACATTCAAAATGAAATTAAGAAAGGAAATGCTATGGCTGACACTGGGGGCATGTTTTCTGCCCTTTCTATTTTCTCAGGAAAATTCTCACCTCTCACTTAATCACTTAACTTCCTGTTAGTCGATTTGCTCAAGCGGATGCCAGTAACGTCTCCATTTGTCCCTGTCACGTGCTAGTGTAGCCCAATGGCATCTGTTCGCTCCGGGAACATGAAGTGCCTCAAACTGATCGTTCATGATCTTGAGGAAGAAGTCTGACCATCTGGTAGGTGGGCGGCCACGCGGTCTTTTGACATCCCATGGAATCCAGTCGGTAACAGCTCTAGTCCAGCGGTCATCTTTAAATCTCATTACGTGACCAGCCCATCTGATTTTCGACACCTTGGCAAATGAGACAGCGTCCCTGATTCTTGATCGTCGACGGATATCAGAACTCTGGATTCTTTCTCTCATTTGATTCTTTCTCTCTTTCTCTCTCACCTCTCAAAGAGTTAAAATTTGAGTTAAAATTCCCTGATAGTCTGATCCATGCCCTGTCTTCCCTGAAGAGGTTTCAGCATGAAGTGAGGAGTGGCCTTGAGCATGAAAGCTGTTGAATTCTAGAGGTTTTCGGCTGCTTGGGCTGGCTCCGTTGGGACCTCACCCACCCCACTCTGGGTTGTCCCGAATGAAACAGCTGTTGCCAGGAGTAATTCTTGAGTGCAAAGCTAGGAGTTACCACCAAGCATTACTGACTGTGGCCCTAAAACAAAAATACAAAAATAAAACTCAAACAGGAATTTTCGAATTAACTATGTATTTTATAAACAGTTATCAAATGCAACCATATCATAATTTCGGTTTTTTTTTATGTAGGAGAATTTCTATTTATTCAGCCATTCATTAAATGATAAAGGTAAAGGCCCTCCCGTTGATCGTCGATTTGCTCGAGCGGGCCCAGTAACATCTCCATTGGAGACTTTGTTGTTACTGTGTTTGGCATATCAAATTCATCACGGGTATCTTGCCAGGCTCTGCCGTGCGGGCCACATACTCTCGGTAGCTTGCCGGGCTCTCCGAGAGGGGGGGAGGAATCGAACTCGGGTCGGCCATGTTGGCCACTTGTAAGGCAAACGCCCTACCCGCTGTGCTATCGCTCCAGCCCAGCCATTAGGCTGATTGAATTGGGCATGAACTTCACCTTACTTTTCTTTTTCTTTTATAAATGTATTTATTGAATCACCGTGAGAGCAGTTACAAAGCTTCGGGTTTAAGTCTCGGTCATAAAATGATGAAACACCCGTCCCTTCACTAGTGCCCATTTTCCACCACCCAAAACCCCAGTATACACCCCATCCCACACCCTCCCCCTACCTGTGTGGCAGATGATTTCCACATAACTCTCTCTCTCTACTTTGATCACATTCAATATTTGTACACCAGACCCACCATTATTATTTGGGATTTTACCCCAACACTCAGATCTGCCGAAAAGGCAACATTAGACAATTTGTTTTCTATTGCTGATTATGAAAAACATATGAGATCACACAGCCACAGTAGTGGCTATGTGATTTTGGAATTCCAAAATTTTAACAATTAAATCTGGAGGGATTTCTTCCAAAACCAGCTGGGTTCTGAGATTTTTTTCCTGAATCTCTGGGATCATGGACATTAAGCAGCTCGGTCAGGAGCCAGAGAGGCTACTTGTGGGCAGCAACCTGGGGTCTCGTTGGGGAAGGGATAAAGGGCCCATTCCACCCCTATCCTGTGAGGCCCCACGTCTTGTCACTGCGGGCCCAAACCTGACGGTACAATGGCCTCTGGAAGATGGTGGCCACTGAGATGCCATGGGGGAGCAAGGAGAGGGACAGCACCCTTTTACACCTGGGATGGCCTGGCACTGGTAACCTACTGCGGGACTGGACACATCTCTGCCAACAGTTGCTGGGTTCTGAGATTTGTCTCTGAGTCTCTGGGATCATGGCTGTTAAGCAGTTCTATTAGGAACCAGAGAGTCCTTGCCTCCAATTATATAACTGAGCTAGAGGTGATTTGTGGGTGTGTCTTCCACATACCTAACTTTTGGCTGTTTACTTTCTTGTTAAACTTGGCTCCAGGTTGTTGAGGTCTGGCCAAAGGCACAGCAGCAATTTTGGGGTATCTGGAAGTCTGAAGGTGCCATCAGGCTGCTTATAAACTCGCCTCACAGGTACAGATTGACCTGCTGGTGGCACCATACCCCACTAAATCATAATTTCTTTATGGAAAGTAATGAGTACTGGGAAGGGAAGTTTTTTTGGTTTTATAGAGACACAGATATGAAACACAGTTAGGTACGATTATGATTATAAACATTGTAAATGGTGGTTATATTAAAAATATTTTTGAAACAAATAATGAAAACTATTTTCATTAGCAACTTGAAATTAAAATAATTGTGATAATTTTAACTTGTCTAATACAGATTATTAAAATAAGTGAGGAGCCTTCTATGACCTGTTTCAATGTGCTTCATTGCCAACTGCTCAATCCACAAGACAGGGTGTGTGAATTCAACGCCCCAATGGGACAAGGAGGTCCAAGGTAAGAAAGTTTCCCCTCGTAACAGGCTGGGTCATCTAATGCAAATCCCTCTCAGACTCTGGGGTCAAATGCTCTCTAGGTTGAGGATCACACAGCTGTCTCCTCACTCAGGGCTGAGTCTCTAGGGAAGGCATAGCTGTGGTCAAGAAGAAGATGATTCTGTGAGGTCTTCTCTTCTGCCTGGTGACACTCCCCCTGGGTGAGTGTCCCAGAATTGACAGGGTCTAGGGGAGGGAGTTACTGCAGGGACTGACAGTGACTGATTCCCCTTGTCCCCAGGTGCTGTGTCTGCTCTGACCCTTCAGGAATCGGGCCCAGACCTGGTGACCCTCTCCCAGACCCTCTCCCTTACCTTCTCAGTCTCCGGATCCTCCATCTCCTCCTGTTACTGCTGGAACTGGATCCACCAGCCCCCAGGGAAGGACCTGCTCTTGTTGGGGAGTATATGTAGGAATGGAGTCACCAACTATAGCCCTTCCCTCAAGAGCCGCATCTCCATCACCAGAGACACGAACAAGAACCAGTTCTCCCTGCAGCTGAGCTCTGTGACCCCTCAGGACACAGCCGTGCTTCACTATGCGAGAGGCACAGTGAGTGGAAGTCAGAGTGAGCCCAGACACAAACCTCCCTGCTGGGAGAGTGTGGACTGCAAGAGGCCATGCTCAGCAGCGGGCACTATGGCTCCTACCTAGAGGAGACATCTCAGAGGAGCAGGAGCTGATGGGTGACTGGTTTTCTGCCTCTCCAAGGAAGGTTTTTAGGTTCCTGTCTCTACACCTTTCACTGATGTCTCCAAATTTGACAAGGCACTTTTACTTGACATGACTATATCAAAGAAAGCTTGTAACTTAGGAATCACTAGATAAACATGTTTGTTAAGTCACGATCACGATCATCCTGTTGTACATCGATTGCCTCGAGCAGGCACCAGTACCGTCTCCGTCTTCCTAGCCCTGAGGTTTTAAAAGAGCCATATTCAATGCTCTTTCAGGGCTAGGAGAATGAAACCTATCATTGTTACTGGTATTTGGCATATTGAGTACGACACGGGAAGTTGTCAGACTCTGCCATGCGGGCAGGATACTTTCGGCAGCCTGCCGGGTTCTCCAAAGTAAAAACGAGATAATAGGATGTTGAGTGGCCACATTTGCTTCTGGGAGCTGGGTTTTATAGTCTCTGGGTCTTAGCCATTGATGGGACCACCTGGCGCTGGCAGCAGCTGGTGGGTGTAATGCCTACCTACTGGAAGATGGGGGATCTGGGTGGAGAAGGCCCAGTCCTGATCTGAGCAGGCTTGGAGATCTCAGCCCCCAGACCCGCATGCCTGGGTTCCTCTGCCGGTTCCTTCATGCATGAGGCTTGTCCGGACATGTGGACAGTGGTCCAAGCATGGCTGTGGCTGGTTCTAGAGGTCTTCAGCTGCCGTGGCTCTGCTTGGGGCGGGGAGGCAAACTCAACCTGCCCCCATCCAAGGGGCCCCAGTGAGGACAGCCAGGCACGGAGGCAGGAGATTCTGTTTGTTAAGTATTTTTTTAATTCCTTGCTTTTTTGCTTTCCTGGATGGGTTCTCTCTATATCACATGTGCTTACATGTTTATCCTTTCAATGAGCCATAAGTCAGTCACCTGGGATCCAGAGGACAACAGATGGATTAAGACATGATGTCCCCAGGGTGCTCGGGGCACCTGTTCTTTATGCTGAGAAATGAGACTTATGATGGTTAGAGCACCGGGCCATATTCGCCATATTCATCCACATACTTCTCTTCATCACTTCAGCACTGTGTACCCACCACAGGATTTCTCTGCAGCCTCCTTTTGTCTGAAATATTTTCCACCAGAAATCACAAAAGAGGTTCTTCCTGTGGATAGAGTTCACATCACAACAGATGATGATCCCATGGTCCATCCCACAGATAGGTCAGGTGAGTGATGCCCAGTCATGTGATATGCATGGCAATAGTATCCCATGCATGCACAGGGTGTGAGAGAGACGTTCCATTAGAGTGTGGACCCAGTTATCAGTCTTCAATGATGATGAATTTTCCCACTGACACTCTCTTCTGCACACAAGCGACCCACAGGGACATCCTTGCACAGGGAGCAGTTTCTCCCTGAGTGACCTGAGTAAGAGCATCAAACCCAGTTAGGTCACAACCCATCACAAGTAACAGTCCTTGTCCTTAATTTCAGACGAACGCGGTTTATCCTTGATAAGGGGCCCCTGGAGCTCCTCAGTCCTGGACCTGAGATTTCATATCAGAAAAGGGTCCCCAGATTCCCCGGGGAGCAGGATCTGAACTCACTGTTCCTGGGTGGGGACCAGGCATTGCCCGTGCCAATGTTGATGGAGCGTTTCAGCTTCCTACTGTGGTGCTAGCAGACCCCAGACACATGCTGGGAATAGCAGCATCTCAATTCCTACATGCTTATGTGTGAATGTGTGTGCATGCAGGGAAAGGAAGAGTCACCATAAAAGTGCATAGTTACCTTCATTAACTTCGCAGGTTTGAAGAAAGACCAGCATTAAACAGAAAATAAAAGTACTAGGTAGCAAGCTAAAATATCCACCATTTGATGTGAATGAATAACTAACGGGACTCCACGCCAGCCTGTTTTCACTCTGTGTACCCCAGAGAGGGCCAGCGAGGGCCTCCTCGCCCCAGGGGACTCAGCCCTGGCAGTTGACCTCAACTACTAACCACTGCCACTCTTCAGGTCGCATTCCGACTGCTTTTATAATATACTTCCTACCCATTTTCCATAATTACCACACCATGTTTGATGGGGTTTAGACAGTATGCAACTAATCATAGAGAAATATATATATATGTATATATATATATATCCCCCCGCCCATCCGGGCAAAGCCTGGCAAGCTCCCCGTGGCGTATTCAATATGCCAAAACCAGTAACTATAACAGATCTCATTCCCCTGACCCCGAAAGAGCCTCAAATTGTTAAGAAGGACGAGTAAGGAGAGGCTGCTATAATCTCAGGGCTGGGACAAATAGAGATGTTACTGGCGCCCACTCGAGTAAATCGACAAATAATGGGATGACAGTGAAACAGTGAATAGCTCACATACTAATAGAGTCATTCCCACAGTGAACACTGAACATAGCAGCAAGGTTTTCATGAACCACAATTTCTCATCTCATTTTCCTCCATTCATATGACTCATTTTGAGATCTACTAATCCCCTGGTGTTCCACAGTCTCAGTTCTAAAGCACACACTCTCTGTCTTCATGTGTTACCTATTGACACACAGCAGAGGTCACCCCATCTGTCTCGCTCTCACTCTTCACATATAATTAGCCAATCCCTCAGTGTGACTCTGCCTCTCTCCCTCCGTCTCTCCTTTAACCCCTCCACGATGTCTACTCTGGTCTTCCAAATACATCTGCCATTAACATCACCAGCATGTCTTTGGGCTTCTTCAGAATTGCCGTCACTCACGTCTCTCAGTCCGTTCAGTTTCATCTTAAATTTCTCTGCTAAAAACAGATCAGTTAACAAACACTCATCCTAGATATTAAAATAAATTCTAGGGATATAATAAAAATTGGAAATTCTATAAACAGAGATATTGTTCGTGTAGCAATGATGATTAATATTGGTAAACAGGGCAGTGATCTAAGTTACACAGGGGAAAAAGATGATTATTAATGAAATAATGATTTTCCTTATTGTGCTCGTGGAGGACACACGGGATATACAGGCCACATTTATGGCTATGTGAGACATCATACTCTACAGCACTGATGTACCAAGAGTAGTACACTACATTGGATGGAGTGCAAAGAGAAGGTAATCTTTCTCGTGGAGAAAAAGTACACACACACACACACATGTAGACAAGTCTTATCCTTAAACAACATGTTACGGATCTCTCATACCTCTTATATAAGGGCATAATGGCACAGGGGAAAATACAAAAATCTTTACACATGTTCTCTAGGAAAACTTTTGTGGATGACTTTTAGTGGATTATTCATAACAAGCAATACAAAATAAATGATTTAAGTCCTCCTTTAGGGGCAGGTTTTCGGGATCAGCATGGAAACATTCAAAATATGGTAGTAGGAAGGTGTAATGGTAGTGGAATATTAAATGTAATAAATTATTATGAACAAATTTATAAAAATGAAACTAAATATAAATACAAAAATAATTTAAAATATAATTAAAATTCATTTTGGTTGTGCAGGTTGGGGTAAGGTGGCTTTGCCATTGTTTCTGAGGTAACACATGGGTGTTAACCAGGTCAATATTCTGGGCTACCCCAGGTCCGATTGGTTATAAGGACAGTTGGGACCTAGCAGGGAGCTGAACCCATAACCAAGAAATAAGTCTGACACTTCTGAAATTCATGTGGAACAATACACCCCCATGACTAATTACAGCAATTCTGGAGGAAAAGATGTGAGGCATTACCTTCCCCAACTTCACACTGTAGCACAAAATGGTAGGAATTAAAAGAGCATCATATTGAAAAAAGGCAAACCCCAGATCCAAGATATAGAGATGAATATCCAGACAGAGACCCTGACATATACGATCATTTAATCTTTGAGTAAGGAGTAAGAAATATGAACTGGAGCAAAGAAATCTGCTTAAAGAAGTGGTTTGGGTACACTGGGCATCTACGTGTTAAAAAAAAAGAACTCAGAACTTTCTCTAACACCATGCACAAAAGTCAGGTCAAAGTGAATTAAAGACCTCAACCTCAGGCTTGAATTCATAAGTCACATAGAAGAAAACATAGGCAAAAGCCTACACGATCTTGAAGCTAAAGGTACCTTCAAACACAAAGACTAAGCAAGTGGAAGCAGAGATAAACATATGGGACTTCATTAAACTAAGAAGTTTCTGAAGCGTTCAGCATAAGAGAAGGAACACATGGAGGGTGCGGGATCACGGAGGAAAAGAAAAAAGAAAAAACAGGTTCCAAAAAGAGCCGAGAGCACCGGCAAGTTCCAGATGGAGTAGGCGCCGCATCCCGCCTCCCCCAGATGGAACCCCGGTGACCAGAAGCCTCTACAAACACAGCTCGAGTAGGCGGGAACGAGGACTTTTTCTCAAATCTGCCGGACTACACCTCCCAGGTAACCTCTGATTCCGGAAGTCACGCCCACAGCCCGCCCCCCAGAGCAATCTTTGAAGCGTTCAGCATAAGACAAGGAACACATGGAGGGTGCGGGATCCTGGAGGAAAAGAAAAAAGAAAAAACAGGTTCCAAAAAGAGCCGAGAGCACCGGGAGGTTCCAGATGGAGTAGGCGCCGCATCCCGCCTCCCCCAGATGGAACCCCGGTGACCAGAAGCCTCTACAAACACAGCTCGAGTAGGCGGGAACGAGGACTTTTTCTCAAATCTGCCGGACTACACCTCCCAGGTAACCTCTGATTCCGGAAGTCACGCCCACAGCCCGCCCCCCCGCGCCATCATTGAAGCGTTCAGCATAAGAGAAGGAACACATGGAGGGAGCGGGATCCCGGAGGAAAAGAAAAAAGAAAAAACAGGTTCCAAAAAGAGCCGAGATCACCGGCAAGTTCCAGATGGAGTAGGCGCCGCATCCCGCCTCCCCCAGATGGAACACCGGTGACCAGAAGCCTCTACACACACAGCTCGAGTAGGCGGGAACGAGGACTTTTTCTCAAATCTGCCGGACTACACCTCCCAGGTAACCTCTGATTCCGGAAGTCACGCCCACAGCCCGCCCCCCAGCGCCATCTTTGAAGCGTTCAGCATAAGAGAAGGAACACATGGAGGGTGCGGGATCCCGGAGGAAAAGAAAAAAGAAAAAACAGGTTCCAAAAAGAGCCGAGAGCACCGGGAGGTTCCAGATGGAGTAGGCGCCGCATCCCGCCTCCCCCAGATGGAACCCCGGTGACCAGAAGCCTCTACAAACACAGCTCGAGTAGGCGGGAACGAGGACTTTTTCTCAAATCTGCCGGACTACACCTCCCAGGTAACCTCTGATTCCGGAAGTCACGCCCACAGCCCGCCCCCCCGCGCCATCATTGAAGCGTTCAGCATAAGAGAAGGAACACATGCAGGGTGCGGGATCCCGGAGGAAAAGAAAAAAGAAAAAACAGGTTCCAAAAAGAGCCGAGATCACCGGCAAGTTCCAGATGGAGTAGGCGCCGCATCCCGCCTCCCCCAGATGGAACACCGGTGACCAGAAGCCTCTACACACACACAGCTCGAGTAGGCGGGAACGAGGACTTTTTCTCTAATCTGCCGGACTACACCTCCCAGGTAACCTCTGATTCCGGAAGTCACGCCCACAGCCTGCCCCCCAGCGCCATCTTTGAAGCGTTCAGCATAAGAGAAGGAACACATGGAGGGTGCGGGATCCCGGAGGAAAAGAAAAAAGAAAAAACGGGTTCCAAAAAGAGTCGAGATCACCGGCAAGTTCCAGATGTAGTAGGCGCTGCATCCCGCCTTCCCCAGATGGAACCCCGGTGACCAGAATCCTCTACAAACACAGCTCGAGTAGGCAGGAACGAGGACTTTTTCTCAAATCTGCCGGACTACACCTCCCAGCTAACCTCTGATTCCGGAAGTCACGCCCACAGCCTGCCCCCCAGCGCCATCTTTGAAGCGTTCAGCATAAGAGAAGGAACACATGGAGGGTGCGGGATCCCGGAGGAAAAGAAAAAAGAAAAAACAGGTTCCAAAAAGAGCCGAGAGCACCGGAAAGTTCCAGATGGAGTAGGCGCCGCATCCTGCCTCCCCCAGGTGGAACCCCGGTGACCTGAAGCCTCTACAAACACAGCTCGAGTAGGCGGGAACGAGGACTTTTTCTCAAATCTGCCGGACTACACCTCCCAGGTAACCTCTGATTCCGGAAGTCACGCCACTGCCCGCCCCCCAGCGCCATCTTTGAAGCGTTCAGCTTAAGAGAAGGAACACATGGAGGGTGCGGGATCCCGGAGGAAAAGAAAAAAGAAAAAACAGGTTCCAAAAAGAGCCGAGATTACCGGCAAGTTCCAGATGTAGTAGGCGCCTCATCCCGCCTCCCCCAGATGGAACCCCGGTGACCAGAAGCCTCTACAAACACAGCTCGAGTAGGCGGGAACGAGGACTTTTTCTCAAATCTGCCGGACTACACCTCCCAGGTAACCTCTGATTCCGGAAGTCACGCCCACAGCCCGCCCCCCAGCGCCATCTTTGAAGCGTTCAGCATAAGAGAAGGAACACATGGAGGGTGCGGGATCCCGGAGGAAAAGAAAAAAGATAAAACAGGTTCCAAAAAGAGCCGAGAGCACCGGCAAGTTCCAGATGAAGTAGGCGCCGCATCCCGCCTCCCCCAGATGGAACCCCGGTGACCAGAAGCCTCTACAAACACAGCTCGAGTAGGCGGGAACGAGGACTTTTTCTCAAATCTGCCGGACTACACCTCCCAGGTAACCTCTGATTCCGGAAGTCACGCCCACAGCCCGCCCCCCCAGCGCCATCTTTGAAGCGTTCAGCATAAGAGAAGGAACACATGGAGGGTGCGGGATCCCGGAGGAAAAGAAAAAAGAAAAAACAGGTTCCAAAAAGAGCCGAGAGCACCGGCAAGTTCCAGATGGAGTAGGCGCCGCATCCCGCCTCCCCCAGATGGAACCCCGGTGACCAGAAGCCTCTACAAACACAGCTCGAGTAGGCGGGAACGAGGACTTTTTCTCAAATCTGCCGGACTACACCTCCC